CGGTTCCGCAAAAAAAAAAACCCAAAACAAAACAAAAAAACCCAAACAAATCTTTCCTGTGTTTAGTTTTGCCTTTGCAAGAACTGAAATACTGGTAGTCTTTCAAACTCTACCTATTTATTTACATGTTAATCATTTTAGAGTTCATTTTATTTTATATGAAGTTATTTCAAAAGTTTTGCGTGGTATCAAGCTTTTGTTTTTCTGTGGGTGGTGGTGGTGGTGGTCAACCACTGGAGGTGATTTCCCCTACTTATAAATGGTTTTTAGAAATTTTACACATTCTGTTTGATCATTTCTACTCTTCCGTTGAGTACCATCTCTCTCTCACACAGAAAACCTAGGAACTGGAGGGTTCAACGTATTTTCAAAAACTTAAATATGTGGGAGGAAAGTAATTCTGTATGAAGTTAGACATAATGCCTATCTTAAAATTGTCAATGTGAGTATATAGTTGATATCTTTGCATCAGTCATTTTACTAGGCCACATGTTTCTTTTACCTTTATCTAGTGATAAGTGTTATGACTCTTCTTTATGGAGAACAAATACTACTGGCACAATCAAAGCAAAAAAATGTCCTTCCATTCCACCTTCGTACATCTGGTTAGGTTTTCAGCAGCGTGCATTTGACCAATCTGTACCAAAATGACAGATTTAGGTGTTAGAGGGCAGAAAACTTGGTATAAGTGGACTCACTTGGGTTCTGATATGTTTTTGTGATTTTTATTTAATGTCTCACTAGCCATAGTTCAGTTAAACATGTTCACCAGCTGCGTTGCTTCTATCCTACTGAAATGTGCTGGAGACAGTAAATCAAGACAAGTGTCTTTTTGTCTGTCTTTTGTCTTAACACTTTAGGATCACACTTGCTTTGTATTTCAGACTCAGAGTGCCAGAAAAATTAATAATACACAATACTTAGGCTTATTTTCAGTATTCTTGTTATGACCAGTTAGGCTAATTTTAATAATGGTCAGTGGCTTCTTAATTGGAGGGCAGTGATAATTCCTATAAATACCAGGTTCCAAATGGTACCTCTTTCTTCCAGCCCATCACAACAATTTTAAAACCAGCTTTTGTTTTTCTTTTTGTTTGTTTTCTTGCTTTGTTTTTTTAACAGGAGAGCCAGTGTAACTCCCTCAAGACTGGAGTGATGCACACTGCATCCGCGTCTGCCTCGTGTGAGTTCTTACTTTGGCAGCAGCATTCGGCTAGGCTGGAACCTCTAGAGGTTTGCCCACTAGTTTTGCTAAAATCTATAAAATACTACACAGTGTGTCTTGGTGGCAGAGGTAAAAAGTGCATGAGAGTTCCCAGGCTCCCTGCAGAAATTTCTGCTTGTTCTAAAGGAACTTTCCTCGGTAATATCTGTCTACACAAAACAAAGCCCACACCTTTCATCCCCACTATTTTTGTGGAGCTATTTTTCCCCTTGCAGATTATGGAGTAAAGAATATCTTTAAATGCTTTCAGTAACTCCAACTTTCAAAGCTTTGGTTGGTCTCTTTATAGTCTAGTTATATAACCTGAGAACACTGTGTACTGTCTTAGTGGCTGAAGCAGTCCTCTTTTTTGGACTCTGATCCTTAAAATAGTTTTTTCCTTTGTCTTTGGATATTGGGTACATTAGGGTAGGCCCAGAGAGAGCTCTTCCTGGAGAATAAGGAAGCAGTTAATGTGTAAAGTTACACTTAAGTGAAGCCATTGGCTAGGTGTGGAAGCCCGGAAGGACAGCTAAGCGTTAGCTGAAGTATGTTTCGTTGACTTGCTTTAGTTGTGACAGAAATTGAAGTTAGAGCCTTCGCTCAGGCTTGGAGGGGCATAGAGTTTTACAGTCTCAGGTGATATGCTTTCCTGCAGATGGCTGAGGCTAGTTTTGAAAGCCCTCGTTGATTAAAAAAAGGAACTTTACTTTTTAATATTTATTTTTTAAGAAATGGTGATACTTTGTAGACTTCCAGAGTTTTTTTCACCATGGACATTTAGAACAAAACCTCTAAATCCAGGTTGTGTGCAGCGGTAGTTCTGCTTTTCAAAACTGGTATTTTATATGGCTCTTTAGGAGATGATTTAAGGACAGGGACGTTTGTGTTGCTAAAATGACTGTCCAGTAAGCACAAGAGAAAGACATCAGTGGCTTACAGTTCTTACTGATCTAGAGCTTGATGAAGTAGTGTTGTTAAAGTAGAACTTGGACTTTCCTTGGTCAATCCATTCCTCCTTAAGTCTAGGGCAGTTTATTTTGGACTAGTTGAAAGAAATTGGAGGGAGAAGTAGTGTGTTTCAATCAATATTCAAGCTTAAGTTTTAATGGGCTGTACATCTAGAAATTTACAGCAGTGGTTGTATACCCCACTACAGTTTTGGGCAGGACTCAAAGGGACCTTCATTCTGCCTTCAGATGATACTTACACTTGCTGTGTACCTTCAGGTCAGCAGATGGGAAGGATATATCATAGTTCTGGGAAGTATCCTCAGGTCCTGAGAGAAAGAAACCTTAAAGTACTTCTGTAGATGGAATTTTTTAAAAATTGCCTTTTTAGAAGATTAAACATTTGGGAAGTTTTGCCTTGTGAATAAGTGTATTGAGCAAATGTAGTGTTTTATTTTCTGCTATTCTGGGATTTGTGGTGGCAAAATGGGAGCTTGAGATTTTTTTCCTCTGTATTTGAATTACTTTGAGCTTCAGCACAGTGGTTGGTCTCATAGATACAGGTTTCAGACACTGATTATTCTTTTACTCTATAATTACTTCACTCATGAACAGGGAAAATTGCTGACATAGGGGTAAGTCTCATTGGGGCGATCAAGGTTTTTTTGTCCCTCTTAAGGGATATCCAGTAAATTATCCTTCAAAAAATTAATAATTGAAAGCATTTTGTATGAACCAGATCTTACAAGAATGAGTATCAGTACGTTACCCAAATTATTTAGCTATATTGGAATTTTTATTTCATTAAATAGTGGTTGAAATATATGGGGCTTTGGTTAGCATTGAGAAGTAATTGTGTCTTACGGGAATTTTGTTAAAATGACATTTACGTGCAATTGGGTTGGGAGCATAGAAAAAGCCAAGAGAGATGGTAACTTCTGTTTTCAGTGTAACTCCTGCTTGATCAGGCCTCACGGGTCACCGTCTCTCACTCTTGTTGCTGTGTATGAAAGCGTGTACACTGCCCGTACCGCAGAGTACGTCATAGCGACTAGGGACTCCACATCTGAGACCTCAGGCATGTGGTCTTTCATTTTGTCTTGAGGGCTGGGGGTGGGACAGGGTGGGTGGAGGACAAGGAGGCAATAGAGAGCAGGAGAGAAATATGGCCAGCTTTGAAATGTTGTTAGCATTAGCATTAAGTTATTATTGTTCCCAAGACAGCAAGAGAAACAGAGATAGCTTTTTTTTTTGCAAACATAGTACATGGGACAGTTTATACATCATGTGATAAAGGTTTTTTTTTTTTTTTTACATTGTTTTGATGAGTAAAACTCAGGTTATCTCGTAAAGAACCTTCAAATTTTTTTAGGCTTTTGTTTTTAAAATCTGAAAATATTTTTAAAAATATTTTGAAAGCCCAGTTTACTGCTTAAAATCTCAATTTCACTTGTATAAATACAAACAAACGTACATATGCACATCCATCCATAACGTGGTAGGTTTTAAAGCCACACAGGTGCATGAAAGTCTCCTTGCTCTTACATAGCTCCACTCAGTTTCCTCCTTGGTGGCAACCAGTTTTACTGGTTTCTTTTATTTCTGAAGGATTATTTCTAGAAAGGGAAAGTTAAATTGTATTCATTAAAGTATAGTATTGAAAAGGCAGATAATTGAAAAAAAATCGATCTGAGCTGTTGGTAGAGATGTTAATAGAGCCAAAATAAAATAATAATAATATAATTGCTTTATTGTGAGACTACAAGAATAGGATGGATATATTTACAAACTGTAGGCTGATTATGTATGCGTATGCTGATAGGACCTTGCTGGGTCACTAGGTTGCCCAAGTTCCTAATGCCCCTGCTTTAGCCTCCACAGTGCTAGGGTTACAGGCTTGTGCCATCATGCCTGGCTGCCTTATTTTTAAGATGGCTTACTTACACCTAGAGACCAATGGAAAGTTGTTAACCTCAATACTTCATTTGAAAGAAGCATATTTAAAGGAATAGTATTTTCTTGATGGTGAACTGCAGTGATTACTAGACTTTTTTAATTATGGAAAATTTCAGATACATGCAGCAGTGGAGAGGAACCTCTATAACCTGAAATCCATGTTCCTTGACCTTTAACAAACTGAGTAGGCTCGTTTGGCAGCTAAGGAGGTCCATATACTTGTTACATGCAGTTGCTTGTACTCACCTTCCCATAATCCTCCTAATAACATGAGCCATAGTTCTTCAATGTCTAATACCCAAATCACATCCAGATTTCTCTAGTTGCCTCAGATAACCTTTTTTTGGTTGGTTTGTGGCAGTACTTTTCAAATCCGATATTGAAGGCTGTAACATGGAACACTGTTAGGGCTGATTGGAATAAAAGCACCTAAAGCCAGATAGGAATTCCAAAACCAGACTTTCAGGTGTTCCAATCAATGAAGACTTCAGCCAGGAGACTTCTTGCCCTTAGTTCTGGGTTTCCTTACGTTCTCACAGTTGCATCCACAGCTGTGCGTGTGGTGAGGGTTTTTCCTGCCTTTAGATTGTGGAGAGGAAAAAATAAAGGAGAAAGAAACATTAAGTGTAGGTTTCCTTAGAATGAAGCAACTATTCTGAAATGTTTGATCATTCTTGTTTTTACTGCTCTTGACGTAATATAACCTATCTCTACAGACTTAACAGTTGAGTTCTTAAATTATTGGGGGAAGTACAGAACATAGAGTTTAAGGGAAAAGAAGAAAAACAGCGGGTTGAGAAGGAAGGAGGAATTGGGAAAGAATTGAAACTCATTCACTTGCCTATAAGCTGTTCTACGTGGTGACTGATATGAGCCCCCTCTTTGTGCAGTGTACAAGTCCCCAGAGTACGAGTCCCTTGGCTTCGAGCTGACTGTGGAGAGACTTGTTTCTATTGGGTATCCCCAGGAACTGCTCAACTTCGCTTATGATTCTACATTCCCTACCAGGTAACTTTTCAGGATCTTATGGATTAAGACCACTTCTCCTGTCCTCCCAATTAGTAATTCTTATTTATTTATTTATTATTATTATTTTTTTACCAAGTAGTAATTCTTAATTCATTTCTGACCATAAAAATTAATTCTGTCATTTTTGGGTTGTTGTTGATTTTAAAATTTCCATGAAATTTTCATAGACACCATATCTTTTGTGTTCCTAAATTGAACTCAGTAATAACATTTGAAGAAGACCACTTTATGGGTGAGGATGTTTCCACTTGCTGGTAGTGCTCATGGATTGTCCTACATACTCTGCCATTAGCTCTGAGAGAAGAATTACATGTTGTGCTAACAAATTTCGCTTGAGTCAGAGCCTTCTTGGCAGAGTGCATTTCTGGATTTGATAGGGAAGATTTAAAATGAAGAAAGATGATGTTTATTTGAAGTAACTGTCGTATGTCCTGCAATATACAACATCTAATGAAGGGAAACAGGCTGGCTCAGCTGTCCATGGAAATTTAAAGATTCTGCTTTGAAATGATACCAGTTATCTTAAGAGGAATTATAGCTTATATCTCCTTGATTAAACTATTATCATTAGTGGAAGAAGGTTGTGATTATTTAGCTGTGTGTAATAAATTTTTAGTTTCCCTGGGATTAATTTTGAAGGTTTTATTCCTTCTCATTCACCTCAAAGGTAACATTATTTTGGGATATTCCTTGGTTGCTGCAAAGCTTGAATTAGATGAGTTATTCCATAGTGACTGGGTTGTACTACTTAAAGTTACTCCTTGTGTTTGCATTGTCACTGGTATCTTTATTTTCACAGAGGACTTGTCTTTGACACACTGTATGGAAATCTTTTGAAAGTTGATGCTTATGGCAACCTCTTGGTCTGTGCACATGGATTTAACTTCATAAGAGGGTAAGTGTGGAGAAGCTTTAACCTCTTTCTAGTGTCAGAGTATATGAAGATGACATTGTCCCCCAGATGTAATACACTTTCTTATTCTTCTGTCATTAAAGAGATGTTCCTTGTTTGGGTTTTGGTTGGTTTGTTTGTGACAGAATCTCATTGTGTAGTTCAGGGTGGCTTTGAACTCACTTCATAGTCTAGGTTGGTCTCACAGTCATGGTGATTCCTCCTGCCTCAGCCTCTCGAGTGCTGGGGTTACAGGTGTATGCCACCACATCCAGCTAGAGAACTATTCCCGTGTAACAGTAGGCAATATGTATTAGGTAGTTGGCACCCAAAGTTAACTTGCAGGTATAGATAGCAGTTATGTTTGTTTAAATTAAGTGTCTTCTAATTGTAAATACCCAGTCAGGTTAATCATGAAACTTGCTCAAAAAACAGCAACAAAAATGTAATTGTTTAGACTTTTTGAAATTCTAAGGTTTTTATTTTTTCCTTTTTAATATAGTTCTTAGCTTCTCAGAAGAGGTTCATACATAGAAGTACTGTATTTAAAATTTTTTTAAACTATACCAATTTAAGATTTAGGCACCACAAGCTGTGCCGGCCCTGCCCCCAGGGCACGCTAAGATGCGATTGAGACTGGACATGGTGGCGCATGCCTGTAATCCCAGCGCTTGGGAGGCTGAAAACAGGAGGATTACTACTAGTCTGATCCATGTAGTGAGACCCTGTAGACCCTGTACTAAATACATTAAAAAGAAAAAAAGATTTTAAAATAGTATTAGGGCTAGGGACATAGCTCGGCGGTCTTAGTGCCTGCCTGGCAGCCCAAGGTCCCAAGTTTGATTGCTGGTACCACATGCTGTGCCAGCACTGGAACCCCAGGCATGCCATGCCAGCTACCAAAACCGATTATGCCTGTAATCCCAGTGCTGGGAGACTGAGACAGGAGGATCACTACAAGTGTGAGCTGCGTAGTGAAGCATGTACCAAATAATGATTAAAAAAATAAAAATAGTTCATACATTGTTTTTTATGCTGTGATGAATAGTACCAGATATTTTTATGAATAAAAAAATTTAAATGTAGAATTAAAAATGACTTTACGTAAGGTAAAGCTGATCAAGGTGTGTGCCTACAGTCTCAACTACACAGGAGGCTGAAGCACAATTATCCTTGAACCCAAGAATTTTGACCAGAGCCTGGGCAACAGCAGGATACCATCTGAAAAAAAGAAAAGCAGGCTAAAACAAAAATTTTTAAAAAAATTATAATCAAGGTTGTGTATGGTGAGATTTTTGGACTTATGTGCAAACATGAGAAGCATAGAATTCTTTATCCTATTTTTTAAAATGTCTAATTTTTAAATGTTTTTTTATCA